GTGTTTGTGTGTGTATTTGTTTCTGGTTCTTCTTTTGATCATGTCTGTGCCTTTAAAGAATGTAGCCAGATATCAATTTCTGCTAAACTTAACACAGGCCAAAAGCAAACCAGACTGCTTTTGGATGTTAGATCCTTAAGAGAAGTGAGGGATTCTTAAGGTTTAGCAATGCAATCCCAAATTCTTCCAATTTTACCACTTAGATGATTAAATCACTCCTCCATTTTGGCAAAAGAGATGAGTCACATAGAGAGTCTAATGTTACAAAAACTGCTATACCTCCATATGGTAAAATAATTCAAGGGAAGAAACAGTACCTTTTCCTTACCAGTGGCCCCACTTGACTTCCCTAGATAGACGAGAAAATCAAAGCCCCCCAAATCACCTATCTGGTGTCCCTTAGTTAAGATCATACATTGGACTACAGTCTATTCAAAGTGTTTGAAACTTTGAAAAATATTTATCAAACGAAGAAGACCATCTTCTCTGGTCCAACTATAAAAATCATGCATAATATTTAAGAGCAAAGTCTGGTTTCCATTTCAGTTATTGATTTGAATACAGCATTTGGCCAGAAATGCAGGCAGAAGGCATTTCTTAAACTTAATTTATTCTCTCATAACCAAAAAGCAGCTTGATGAAGACAGTTTTATGTAACTTTGCCAGATTCTGTGTGCTTTGGAAATGTCACACATTTCATTCAGTTTAATTCAGTTTTCTTTATCATAAAATGTGAACAATTATATTCTTCCTAAAATATTGTGGATACTATATGCTATAATCATTTAATTATATTTGCTTTGACTTTCTAAAATACTAAAGGTATTGTTAAAAGTAATGTATAATTTTATATGTCAGCTTGATTGGGCCTCAGAATACCTAGATAGTTGGTTAAATATTATCTATGAATGTAGCTGTGAATATGTTTCTGGATAAGTTTACAATCAATTGGTATGTTACAGGAAACATCCAATCCATTGAGGACTTGAATAAAACAAAAAGATGGATGAAAGTTGAATTAACTCTGTCTAGTTGCTTGAGGTAACTTTCATCTTCTATTCTCAGTGCTTACTTAGTTCTTTAAATCCAAACTGGAATCTATACCATTGACTCTGTAACTCTCATGTCTTTCAACTACACTTCTAGCTTTCCTGAGTCTACAGAGTGCTGACAGCAGATTGTGGAACTTCTCAATTTCAACCATTTAATCTAATACCTTACAATAAATCTTATATAAAAGAATACATACATACATGGTATGTCTGTGTGTATGTGTGTGTGTATACACACACACAAATATATATATATATATATATATATATATATATATATATATATATATATATTCTTTTTATATTTTTATACATATACACACATACACACACTTATATTTCTATTGGTGCTATTTATTTTGAGAACTCTGATATATTGAAATATTGCACTTGAATCTTGCAAGTGAATATGTTTTCTTACTTATTGATTTTACTTATGATTCCTTTCTCTAAGAGATTTGCCAAAGGATATGGTTGATATATGGCTAATTCCAATTTTAGTGATTTATCAATTTTTATATTCATAAGTTAAGAATAGGATAAGAAGTAGTAATAAAAATGAAAATGTTAGGTTAGGTACAGAACTAATTGAAGAAGTTTCAAGGAAAGATTAATTTAATATACTAATAAATAAGTGAAAAATTTGACTCTACCATTTGTCAAAACCAGTGACATATAGAAAACTCAAATGGACAAAAATCAGGATAATTACAGATCAGTTAGTACTAGGAGCCCTGCATGAGAAGCACCATCCTCAATTCTGTTAGTACCCTTGGCCAACTCTAAATATTCTTTGGGATGGAATCAATGCCATACTGTGTATTTTAGGGTTCTCCAGAGATTCAGAATGATAGGACCTCCATATCTGTCTGTCTATCTACCTATCTATCCTCTGACATATAAATATTCTATCTATCTATCTATCTATTATCTCTCTCTGATTTATTATGAGGGATTGGCTTATATGATTATCCATGCCAAAATGTCCCATGATCACCTGTCTGAAAAATGGAGAGTGGGTGAAGTTGGTGGTATAATTTAGTCTGAAACTAAAGGGCCTGACAACCAGGGGAGTCACTGGTCTAAATCCCAGTCTGAAGGAAAAGATGTCAGAGAGCCAAATAAAAAGGAGAACATTCTTTTCTCTTTCACCTTTTGCTCTCTCCAGGACCTCAAAGTGTTGGATGATGCCCACTTACTTGGGGGAGATAATCTACTGTTCACTCATGGAAATTCTAATTTCATTCACAAACAACCTCCTTGACACACCTAGGAATAATCTTTGATCTGGCTCAAAGTGACCTATAGTTGACTATCACACTGCCTTTATTCTTCATCCTCAAAGGTCAAATTAGTTAGCTTTTGTGATGTTAAGTGAAAAAATGGTGTACATTCCAAACAAGCCCAGGAATAATTTCTTAAGGACTATCTACCATAGAGTATTTATTTTTGCTACTATGACTGCTGTTTGGATATGTTTTTGTGGTTTTGGGGGGCTGATGTGTGAAGTATGGACAAGGAGAAGGAGCAGCTAAGTTGTCAATTATCATCAAGCAGAGTAGAACTTTGTCATATTAGAATTTAGCTATACAGTGCAAATTGATATTATGGAGATACCTTCACATGAAAATATTTGACCAGTTCAGTGCCTCTCATCTGTGAGTTGTTCCTTAGGGCTTAAAATGTATCTCCTAGAAAATGCAGGACTGATATCTCTGAAAAGCATAATGTCATGCTGTTGTAAGCCACTAATATTGATGAATTGGTTTATTAGCTAGTACTGAAACTGGTCCTAGAGTAGATGAAATAGGGGACTGCATATTTGGGAAGAAAATTGGAAAATAAGATGTATTCCAGGTAGGAGCAATGTATGTATGTGGTGTGTGTGTGTGTGTGTGTGTGAGAGAGAGAGAGAGAGAGAGAGAGAGAGAGAGAGAGAGAGAGAGACTCACTACATGAAGATAAGGTGAGTTGCAACATGAGGAAATTTAATATCTGGAAGAGAAAGGGGTTGAAATAGAGAAAAAAAATGTGGAAAATGAAGGTAGACATTTAGCTCTACATATTTTGTTCAGAGATTGTTTTCTAGATTTTTAAAAATGGGCATGGTGCTATTTTGTTATTTAAAAAAAAAAAAAACTGTTGTTGTATTCCAATCATCATTCCCCAATACCTCCCCTTCCTTTCATTTTTCCCATCCCTTGATCTTTCTCTACTCAACTTGTCTCATTTCAATTTTCCTGATGTCCTTTTTCTGTTCTTTCTCTCTCTTTCTCTCTTTGGCTTCCACAGATGAGAGAAAGCATATTACCTTTGACTTTCTGAGTCTAGCTTATCTCCACATGATGTTTTCTGTAATTTTATAAAGGAAAGACTAGCTAACACCTTTTAAAGATCTAAAGAAATAAAAAGGGGTTCATCTGTGAGAGCAGAAAAGAGTATTGGGAGTCAGACATTCTACAACCACCTGGGTTCTCAAGTCTCTGAAGAAACAGCTGTGTGATTTTCTCATTCTTTTATTCCAGAGTCCCAAAAGTGGTGTAGGAGCTGCTTTATATCTGATAGAACTAAAAAGAAAAAAAAAAAAGAAATAACACCAAAATTTAGGAGAATTTTGAACAGTTATATACAAATTTTACTTAATCCCTACTCAGAAGCACTCATCCATCTCTACTTTAGATTATGTTAGTGGCATCTATGTTCTGTTACCACTTCCCACTGCCTCCCAGGCAAAATTATCAAGTACCTACTTCTTGCCTAAGATCACTAGTCCCCAAATCTTCATTTTCTTATAAAATTTATTGTTTTACATAAGGTACCATGCCACTATCAGAGTTATATCCAGGTTTTTTTTTTTCTTTAAAAAAAAACACAGAGAAAAAAATGTTTTCAGTAATTTTCATTCAATGTGAATGACAAATATAGCTATAAACAGGGAAATAACCATTTCATTTCTTCCTGAGGAAGTTTCATATTTTAAGCAATGAAAAAGGGAATTCTATACAAAACAATTTTTAAATCATCTTCTCTCTCAGTCTTTTGTCATGTGTATTTATGTTAGTTTCAGAATAGCATGACTGACTGGAATATACAGTGTGGAAAATATGCACATCCTCTGGAAATTGATACTATATTCAAAACACATGCTGAGTGGTCAAAAATCCTTTCAAACCCTTGTAACTGTATACTTTGTGATGGAGTTAATCTTGATGCTATATCTTCCCTTTTTCTCCTTTCATTATATAAGCACTGAGTATATTTTTAACAATTATTTCAAAGGGTGAGTTGTTCAGTCAAGTCAATTTACCTTGACAAGAGGATACCATTCACAACTTCTTCAGAAATTTAAAGGTACATCTCAACTTTAAAGCATATATGTATCAACTTTCCTTTTTTCTTTTATCAACATAAATGTTGACAAATAAAAACAAGACATTGTATGTAACTGCTGCAGCCTCCTCTCATTGCATCCTTCTTAAGTCAATTTTCTTAAATTAATGGAGATGAAAGATTATTATAATTTTTTTAGTATGTTTGGCAAGTATTCCTTTGAAAGAGTCAACAGTAGGCATAAAGACTGAATTTCTCATGTTTGTTTAAATGATTTTGCTCTTGATTTTTACTAAGGGTCTTACAATTGTTTTTCTTCTAATTCTTTCTGCTCTTTGTTTAAAAATTAATGTATTTGGGGGGTACATAAGATCTCAAAATAACATTTAATTGATAATTATAATGTATATTTAAAATTACAGCAAGTATAAGGATCAAACATTTTGTTTTCTAATTATTATACAGAGTTAGTTTTACACATTATAGTGACAATGAAAATAGTAGTTTCCTTGCATATATTTTTTTAATCATACCTTTAAGGATTTTTTTATAAAGACATGTAATCATAGCAGGGAATTTATTTACTATTTAAATTTTGTGTGTATGTGAAGTACATCTAAAAATTAAGTAAATATTAATACAAGAAAATAAGTTGATTTATTTTAAATCTTTTCTTTTTTAAAATACTTCATTAAGTAAGTATAAATATACTTCAAGAGTCATGTGATGCTCATCTATGTACTCTCTTCATTTAATTTTGTAGCTATCCATAAATTTAACTGTGTTCTGTTATCTTCTGTGACAGTGATATGTCAAATAATTTTAAAAATGGGATTTTATTCTTATTTTTCTCTGCCTTGTATTACAATTATCATTTCAAATATCAGATTATAAATCAAATATTAATTTCTGTTTTATTACAAATCTGACATTATACAATTTTATTTTGGACTATAGGAAAAATGTAGCTTTGTAATAATATAAGTGTAAACAATCTATACGTATCATCTAGGGAAGCTGTCCTTAGTTTTAATTTGCTAGGTTTTACTCTGGGAAACATATAGGTAAGCTATATATATATCAAAAGATGGTTTGTTACCAGAGATGACACATATCTCAGAGACTCTGCATGCATTTCTGTAGAACTAGAGAGGACTGATGGAATAGATTTGTAGCACACGGCAAGTGGGTATAGAGTTCTCAATGATATATCTTTAGACCCCTATCCTTTCTCCTTTATAGAGGATTTAGTACACTTACATTATCATTTACTATTTTGGTGTACTCAGTGTGTTTCTACGTATCATCCAACAAGTTTACAATATATATTTCAGTATAATAGTTACCTTACAATGGAAGAGTTAGTAATTTTTACATAAATGAACTAGACTATATATATGACAAATCACTTTTCTTTTTTTGCTACAGTACTTCTCTTTTTTATGCAGATAAAGCACATGTATAGCTTTTCCACTCTCGGATCTAGCACAAATTACAATTTACAATTCTTTCTAAATACTTCAGTGGATTTAAGTTTTGACAAGCGTTTTTTTTTAATGTGTTATGCTTCTGGAATTTTATGTTATATTGTGAGGTTTATTTTGGTTCTTATTTTGAAGGATGCCTCATAGAATCAAAGAATTAAAAAAAAATTACAGGCAAACAGTGGTCTAAAAATCTGTAGACACAATCTTAGTTGACATATCAAAGTGTAAATATTAATATGAAATGGACAGTTTTGCATTTGTGTTTGTTATTTATGTTTGCTGCTACTGACTTACACATGAGTGCACAGTAAGTAGTCTATGACAATCTCATAGGCTCGGATGAGCGTTAAGCAGTAGGCATAGGCCTCAAGGGTTGTAACAGATATTTTTCTTGTCCTTTTTTTTTTTTTTTTTTCTAATAATCCACATGCCAGCACATGGAAGGAGCCTTGTCCTTTCTTCTTATTTGGAGAGGTATATTTTGATCATCGTTTGGTAGCCTCTGAAAACTTTGGAAAAGATGAATCCTCAGCAAGTTTTCTCTCAATGCTATCTCACTTTCTGCAGTTCTTGTCTCAACCAAGATGGGAGAGGTTGCCCCAATTTGTGTAGCAGCTTTGAGAGTTCCACATTGTGATCCCGATAGTAGCTTGACAGAAATGCTCTGCTCTGAGTGGGGAGGGAGAGATAAAAGTACATTCAATTTTGTTTATTAAAGTATATTTTATACATTTGGACTATGATTAAATAATCATCAAGTATATCAGATCTGGATTAAAATTTGTATTAAGCAGGTGAACTGTTTATTTAGCCCATAGTGTTTTGTTGACATTTTTGAGGCCCTTTATATTTACCTTTCTCTGAAAATCATATGACCAAACCAGACACTTTAGCCCCTTCAATTTGGTAGGTTTTACTCTGGGAAATATATAGGTAAGCTATTCATATCAAAAGATGGTTTGTTACCATAAATTCATTATGTACTTCAATAAATTCATTATGTACTTCACAGTAACCTTGTAGAGAGATTTGAAATTGATATCTTGAAAAGTTCTTTACCACTAAATTTTGTATTTTATCTCAGTGTTTCTATGTGAGACCAGAGTAAAATGAAATATTAAGAAAAACATTATATGGTATCTTTTAAATGTTGTAACTTTAATAAATAAATTTTGTACAAAGTTTGACATAAAAACAATAAATTTTGCATTGCTCTCTTGAAATAGTATAGAAATGCCCCTTCAAACTCTTTTAATGTATTAGGATTATTTTATAGTGCTATGAGGGTATATTTTTATCAACCAAATAAAATTAGAATTCAGAGAATGTAAATTCTTTATCAAAACAGTAGAAGTTCTCCTTTCCTTATGTCTTTGATACAGAATTTAAGTATGAGCTTTTTGATTACAGGCCATATCTCTATCAGGCCTGATACAACAAATAGTTCTGAAAGTCCTGTTAGATATAATTTTCAAATAAATTCAGATTACCTAAGGATTCTCAGACAACCTCAGATTGTCAGTTAACATAAGGTATTAAATATTGTGGGGAAAAACTCAAATACTTTAGTTTCTGGGTTATAAATATATATATATATATATATATATATATATAAATTCATGTAATTATAATATATAATCATAATCTATCTGCATTCTAATAGCCAAACTATATTTTAAGTAGACTGATTATGAAATGAAAATATGAATAAATTTCATGTGCATTAAGTACTAAAGTAAAAATACAGGATATTCAACCTGAAAAAAACTATAGCATTAAGTGTTCATCATCTCAGGATACTGAACAGAATAAACAAAGTGCTAGGTACCATAATGTACACATCTCCATTCTTTAAAACCTGAGTAATCGGGCTGGGGATGTGACTCAAGGGGTAACGCGCTCGCCTGGCATGAGCGGGGCACTGGGTTCAATCCTCAGCACCAATAATAAAGATGTTGTGTCCACCAAAAACTGAAAAATAAACATTAAAAAAATTCTCTCTCTTTCTCTTAAAAGAAAAAAAAACCTGAGTAATATATTAGTATATTATACGTCTGGGAAATGTATTAATTTTTTTCATTTTAATAGCATAAAAACAGTTCAAAGTTCAGTACATTATAACAATAATATTATCTAGGCTATATTTACAACTATGGAGTAATTTTATGGTGACAAAAGATAGAAACCTTTTGATCCTATTTTCAATTTCTAGTTGATATATTTCCTTTCTTGGATTCACTTAACCTTTTTAGTGCAAAAATTTCTGTGCAGTATCATTCCTTTTAGAATGAGATGATATCTTTCTGTCCTTATTCAAAATTGAAAAAATTCTATTGTTTTCATTTATTCTTGCATGACAGGTAATGTTATATAATTGAAGAAATCAAAAAACAAACAACATAGATATTCTAAAACTCAATTGTCACTTTTAAATTTTAGAAAGTTGAATTTGACTTAATCACTTTTCTAAGAAAACAGATGTGATGTTACTATTTATTCTTTTGTACAAATAGCTTAGATTTTTAAGCTCTACACTTACATCAGAATCCATTGGTGGATATTTTCTTCCTTTACTCTTTCCAAGGCATTTTGTTTTACCTTCTTCCAGCAACTGACACCAGAAACCTTTATGAGAATCAAACCTAAAAAATTACAAACCCCCAAAGAAACCTTAAAGAAATTATTTTTAAGTAGTTTATAAGATATGATGACCAATAACATAAGTATTTTTATTTGAATATCAATCTATAACAAATAAAACTGGAAGTTTTTTTTTCTTTTATACTATAACTCTTTGCATAAAATTTTGTGTCATAAAGAATAAAATAGTATAGAAAGACCTACTTCCTCCAGCCATGTCCCACCTGTCTATGGTTACCACCCAGTGTTCCATGTTTAAGTTAGCATACAATCCTGAAATCCATAAATTTAATAAAATTTATGAGCAATATTTGCACACTGAAAACTCTAATTTCCATGCTAATTTTGTCATAAGGAATTTTCAGTCCCTCTGTCATATTTCTAAGTTTGCCCATTTCTTAATACAAAAATTTTCAGTAAAAAATATCCTATTAATAAAAAATTAAGACTAATTCCTTCATATGGTATCAAAATATTTATAAATTTTAAGTCCATTTTTATAGAGTTTAAAAATGACAAATCAATCTTCATCACTTCTGTGTATCACAGAACTACAGGGTGATTTGAGAGAAAAGATATTGATGTGCCATGGAGTTATTACTTTTAGAATTCTATAGCTATAAACCAAATTTAATTATTTTCCAGATAAAAGAATTTCTTCTTTTAATATGAGAGCTATATTAAAGTAATTCCATCTATAAATGGGATTTTCATACTATAATTGTAATAATAATAGTATTATGTTACATTTATATTTGTTTATCAAAATATTTTATATTTCTCTATTTGAACCTTCATTATAACCCTGTTAATCAGCTTTTTATTACTGTGACAAAAATACCTGACAAGCACAACTTAGAGGAGGTAAAGTTTATTTTGAGTTTAAAAGTTCAATTCATGGTTGACTGACTATTACTGTGGATCTGAGATAAGGCAGAATATCATAGCAAAAGGGTACAGGGGAGGAAAGTTGATCAGTTCATGGTAGCCAGTAAGCAGAGAGTGAGAAAGAAGCCAGGGACCAGATATAGTTCCCAAGGCCATGCCCCCAGAGATCTACTTCCTGTAGCCACTCACCACCATTAGCAATATATAAAGTTTCAAGTTTCACCACTTTCTTGCCAACATCACATATTATCTTTTGGATTATAACCATTGCAATGGGTGTAAACTGGTATCTCAATATGGCCTTAATTGCATACCTTTATAATTAAACATTTATTTGTAATGTGAAATTCAGTGAGTCGCAAGATAGATTCTGTTTGTAGCAATGTCTGATACAGCTTATAAAGCTCATTTTAAGCTTTCAGTTTTGAAAGGAAGTACTTCCTGTTGATATACTATCTATTACAAAAATTCACAATAGTTTTTGTCTTGTTCTTGTGAAAATGGGAAGAACTTAAGATTGGTCAGGGTAGGTTCCAGAAATAACTGATTTCCAAATCTCCCTCCTTAAACTACTTGCTAACTAATTTTTGGCTTAATTTTCCTATGTTCTAATATTTTTACCTGAAAAATAGTACTATTTTGCTAATACTACTTATCACACAGTTTTGTGAGGATATATATATACACACACATATAAGTTATTTAGTATGTATAATAAATATGTTTAGTAAATATATTTCTATTCAAAACGACATTTCTAGATGCTTCTTCATAGGTCATCCTAAGGATAACCAGATTTTAGTTACTATGACAACTAGTTTTGCTATTAAAAAGTCTTTACACGGTAGATTCTTACCCAAACTCATCTGCAGTGAATTGGGAAAGAACACCTGGGCAACATAAATTTGATTATCAGGATGTGATATTAGAAACATTTGAAGTCTTTCTAAATTTAATGCATCTTCAGTCCTTTATGACTTAACCAAGCCTCATAAAATACACACACACACACACACACACAAAAGAAAAATTATATTCTATCTCTGACTTTCAAATTAATAATTCCCATTCATCAAAGTTTTCAAAGTAAATTTGTATTAAATTTTTATTTAACACAGTCTGGTTTCACTAAACAAATATATTAATGGGCTGAGAAATGAGATGTCATGTTCAGGTATTTAAGTAACTAGTATTTCTGAATTGAAGACTCCTGTCATGGACATCAATGCCTATGTGATAATTGTGAATGGAAATATTTGTGGTAAAATTTAAATTTATATTTTTAATTTTAATTTATCACATTAGTACAATTCATGTCAAGTTTTAATTTTCTTCATTTTTTCAAATATTTAATTATTTTCAAAACACTATATAACACATAACCTGAAAACTATACTGGTGTCAATATAATATCAATCCTATTGTTCATAATTAAGGAATTAAGTTTTTGTTGGACAAAAGTTTTTAAATGAGGCCTCCCAGCCTCTCTGGATACTGGCCCTCTTTTAAGGCAGTATGCATTTGATTCAATAAATACCCTGAAATAAGTTGTAAAATGTAACTTACTTTTTTGAATGAGAAAGTTCCAAAATGTATTGTTTTAAGCTAATAGTCTTCATTTCAAACCACACCCGCACTCACTGAGAAAATCAGATTATTTTTACATATTCAATAAGACTTTTAAAATCAATTATGACAATAAAAAGTAATTTTAAGATCCAACTATCCAGTTAGTTGGTATAAATTTTGGAATTCTAGAATATTTTCTTTAGTAATCATGGAATGGAATAAAAAACACTTTGACAATGGAGGATTTTTACCATTGCTTTTGAAAATAAGTTTTGATAGTAGAATTTGCTAAACTGAAAATAATCAGTTTAGAGACTTCTTAAATTGGAGCATTCTCTCATGCCAAGAGTATTGTAAAAACGTTTGTGTATACCTAATTTCATTCATTTATTCTACTTTGTGCAATGCACTGTATTTAAGTGATTGGTTGAGAATTCATATTGGATTTTGTTTAGTAAATCCTTAATAAAGGAAGGAAGGAAGGGTCTTAAGCTGAAAAAGAAATGCAAACACCAAAGAGATGATATTCACTATCATAGCAGGAAAATAAGAAATAATACCAAAATATATAAAGGATCTCTTAGTTTTTGGTATAAATAACATTTATGAGAATATACATTTTGTACTCATAGCCATCCCAATATTTCTATAGTATCACAGAAACAACTGTCAGAGTTACTATAAGAAGAGTAACTAAACTGTGAAGATGGGGTTCAGATAAACAACTGCAAAAGCTATAGGGTGAAAGAAGACAATGTTAGACCTAAGAAAATGACATGAAACCTCCAAATATTCTACAAGTGCACTAGTGGTTTTCACAAGGTGTGTCAATGATGATCACAAGAAAATATGAAAAGAAACTCACTGGAAGTGCATTGTTACTCACTCTCAGGCACATGACAATTCGACAGTGAGTCCTTTCTTAAATTCTAATGCTTCTCTTGACCCCCTTGGAGTCAATTACCAAGGAAGATCAGAGGAAATCAAGAAAAAATAAAAATTAAAAAAACTACCAAAACAAACAAACAAACAAAAAACCAAATCACTGCTTTTAACTGCTGAGGTATCTGAAGAAAGGATGACAAGGTCACATTTATTTTACATAAAGACAAAGGTAAAAAATAAAACTACTGCAATAGAACAATAATAGTACATCTCTCTTTCTCTCTCCCTTTCTCTGTCTCTGTCTCTCTCTCTCTCTCTCTGCCTATGCTGTCACCTATTGGATTATTCCTGCCTGTATAACATTGTTTCTGAAAACTGCAAAAAAGGCCAGTTCCAATATTATCTAATCTCCTCTTCATACATCCAAGAGGTTGAAATATTGTCTGTTAAATATTTCAACTTTTATGAACTTATTTCAAGTCTACTCTTAAGGTTTGTTGTTGGTTTTTAGAATCACAATTTTTTTCCTCCACTTTTCTTCCAGGAGAAATCTGCATATTTAGGAGTAAACAGGTGATTTAGGACCTTTCTTCATCACAATGTTTTAATTGTTCTTCCCCAAATGGTTAACATATAAATTGACAATTGCATCACCAAACTACAGTTTCTTAAAATTATTTCCCTGCTGAAAGTTTAATTAATTAATGAGAATACAAACTTACGTTAAAGCCTCTGAGTAATTATAATGAGGAGAGACTCCTAGAAACTTCTGTACTTCATCCATTACTGTAGCAGGATCAGTTCTTAGTTGTTGCCCATCGATAATTAGCAACTAAATCACCAAAATAATAACAATAATTATTATTATTTAATTAATGTTGAAAAAAGACATGTTAACTGTAAAATAAAATTTTTTCTGTTTATTCAGAAACAAGGTCCTAAGGAGAATTGCATGCATCATTATTAGATATAATCACACAGTACTTGTTAATGGCCTGAACCAAGAAATAAATCATGCTAATTAAGCACATTCATTTTTGTTACCTGAGAACTCCTACAAACACTATAAAAGCAAAAAGCCAATTGTGGGGACCAAGAGAGTTTAGAAATTTAACTGCAAAATCACAAATATAAGCCAAGAAAAAAAAGCAATTATTCCATCATCGATATTGGAAAGGAGCACTGTGGAAAAGAAATGAATGTTCAAAATAAGCCCAAATGTAATAAGAAAGAAGACATGCCATGTTTTACAATTCCATTTAGGAGTAGCAAAGTACAGTTTGAAGAAATACTTTGATAATTCATATGGAGAAGGTAAGAATTCTCAGAGAACCAGTGCATGTACATAGTTCCTCAAAAAACTAAGGGGAAGAATTTGTTACTATGATGATAGTGGACCCAGCAAGATAAAATGACTGAGGATGGAATGGAAGGTTACAAAGCCTGTAATGCAACTCCAGCCCATACCTATTTTCCAATATTTCTATCAGTCTAGATTAGCATTACTTAATAGAACTTTCTGTGATAATGAATGTTTTATAGCTGCGCTAACAGGTAACTATTGAGCATTTGAACGTGGATAATACAAATAAGAAACTGCATTTTTAATTTCTCTTAATATTAATACAAATTGAATTAACATTAAGTGGTAATAGCTATCACATTGGACACTGCAGTTTTAAAAGTGCAAGTACACACCACATCTGACATGACTAGATGGTTTATACAATCCAAAGGATTTGATTTGGTAACCTAAGTTGATGCCCGCCACCCCCCCAAAAAAAGAGTAAGGAATGTGATAAAAGCATAAGACTTCCAAAAATTTCAACAAGGTGATTCAGAAGCAAAATAACATCACTTAATTAAGCAAAACAATATTTGCCTTGTTTAGTGAAGAGGCTCCCTTCAAGCTTTATTTATGTCAGAATAAGAATTAGGGATCTAATCAGGAAGCTATTGAAACTCTTTACAATCAGGTAAGGCACCAGAAAATGGAACAGGGAAAATTACTCTGAAATACTTTCCAAAAATCAGACTGCTTTTCTACTTTGCCTCTCTATTTTTCTTTGCCACAGTCCATTATTTATAAGTAAAAAGTAAAAAGCTAGTAGTTTTAATGAGTAAAATTTTCCTCTATCCTTGAGGCAAAGTCATCAACTTAATGAGATTGTTACATGATGTAAATTTTTATTGCTCCATACCTGAAAGGGAGGGAAATAAACAAGCCATCTCTCAATGTGGCTGGCATACAACCCAGGGACCAAACATCTCTTCTGCAAGGTTTTAAGCTCCGTGGGTGCATGGGGCCCGGCTGAGATTACTTCGTAGAAGCTAAACTTCAGAGCTGCAGGGTCTTCATGTGATCGCTGATGCTGATAAAAAGGTGGATAATTAAACTAACTTGAAACATAAACATAAATAATTAAAAACAAATCTTTCTGACAAGTCCTTAAGCTAGAGGAAAGAGTGTCTCACTGCTGGAGAGTTATTTATTTTGAAATTAATAAAGGATGAAAATGTTTGCTTGGAGAATCAAAATTTAAAATTATGACACTGATGAGTATGTATTTTAAAGACTTATTTGACAGAGGATGAATTCTTATTGGTAGAATTCCTTAACCAACTTTACTGAGTTTTTTTTCCCCTTTGTATATGTATTTTACCTGAAAGTAAACTTTTGAAAGCTGCATTATGTCCCCTTTTCAGCCCATAAGAAAATCATTCATCAAGCTCAGTGGATATGTGTAATACATAAGCACTAGTTCAACCAAATAATTTTTGCTCTTCCTTGTAATGTAGTTTTTAGATCAGGAAAAAAAATCCTATTTGCTATTTAAAATGGAGAAACTCTGACATATACATTATCCCAAATCCATAGATTTTATCATATATTACCTAGCATCTGAAAGCCAAGATTATTTTATCTAAAGGTAACCTTTGCAGTGAATCAGAACCATTTATTGTTCAGAAAATACAGAAAGCAGCAATCCAAATACGAAAGTGTTTCATAATGACTCAGATACCAGCCCATGGATTTGAGAAAACCATCTTTTCCTTAAATTGACCAATAAATATTCAGGCTTAGCGGTAAGTTTGTAAACGTGTTTCCTATAGGGAGCCTCCATTCAGGGTGCAGAGACCAGCTAGTTGAGAAGCAAATTTGCTTCAGTTAGGATTCAAATTATTATACTATAAACTCTACTAGACTTTGTTAAGGTCTGCATTTTACCCCGTGGAGTGACTTCCTTGCAATATTTAGAGTGTTTTGTTAGTTTGCATCCTTGAAACCTTCTTTTTCTGTAAATTCCCAATTTTTCAGAGGCTAAGTTATTGCCAAGCTCCAATTTTCTTCTATCTTTTGGAGTCAATTAAGGCTTATTTCTCTTTTCTCCAGATTTCCTGTAGAAAGGGTAAAAGATGCAAAATCAAATCTGTCAATTTTTAGTATACCTAACTAGAATTCTGTTTTGTATGACCTTTCCTCACTCTGCCCCTGTCACCAAATCTTTCCCAATAACCTTTTCTTCTATTCGTAAACCTGAAAAAAAAAAAAAAAAACTGCTTTTGTTAACTAACAAAAGGTATCTTGGTGTTAAAAAACTATATTCTTAAATTTAATATCATAATTTCAAGGAGTTTCCTATTTGAAATCATATCAGTGGAACATCCCACCCACCCCTGGTGAGAGGATTTGAGCTCTTAATATAAGGTAATGTGCTGTGCTCTAAGTAAGTATTTGCTGAGTTTAATATAAGGTAATTTGCTGTGCTCTAAGTAACCCACAAATCTTCACCAGAGGAATTGTGGGTTACTTAGAGCACACCAAATTACCTTATATTAAACCCCCAAAGAGTTTTTGTATACACAATATTACACATTCATCTTAACTTCATAGTTTCAAAGAAATATAGACCATAGTCTGTTTTTTTAGCCTGCTAATAATTTATTTATACATAGTTATGTTTTACCCCTCCCAGAACAATCCATCACTTCAACTTCACCTCAATTTCTCCCCTTATAAATCCGTCACTTCTTCAGAGAATGTGTACTGATTCTTCTGGGGTCTGCATCTCTGCTGCAGCCAGTTAATCAATCCAGCTTGTTCCCTGTAGTCTTTAAGATGGACTTTATCACAGAATGATGCTATCAGTCCATCACTTACTTCTTTCTAATTTATATGGTTATTTACACATACAGCATTTCTCCAATTATGTAAAACACAGTCTCAAGTATAGCAGCCACATTTATTAACATATGTTCCATCACTTTCAGAACAAAACTTGGCACATAGTTGTCATCAAAATTATTGATGAATGGATGGAAATATAAATAATAGGTATTTTTCAATTAAAAAGTTGAGCAATGATAACAAAGGATCGTGGAGACAAGATACTGATTTTGTTATATTCTTATTTTTAATTTTGAATGCCTTTTATTGAAATTTTCCATTTGGTGATTAAAATATCACTGGGACAGTTTTTCTCTATTATTTAATGATTTATTATAAAATATACTTTATATACAAGTATTATTAGAGTCTGTTAAATTATTTTAAAGTGATGGTATCTGTGCTAAGTTCTCACCAACCTCAGAAACATAATGACAATGAATATATGAGAAGAGACTTAGAACAGGTTTAGACAGATTGGGCTTCCAGTGATGAAGAATTCTTATATAAGCTTTGTTTCTAAGTTACTTCTAGAGTACAAACATTTATTTAGATTCTTTCAGCACTGGGGCAATAATCTATGGATGCCTAGAGTCTGTTTTTGTTTATAGAATTGTATTGGAACACAACCATGCTCTTTCATTAACATATCATCTATGGCTACTTTCAAAATACAATTACAGAGTCACAAAAGACCTTACAACATTTAAAACATGAAATTTTGCTGTTTAGTCCTTTATAAAATATATATGTATTGGATGAAAATTCATGATTTTAAAATGCATGCTTAAAATACAGATGTATAGAAGAACAGAGGGTATGGAAATAGATGTATATCTCTATACACACATACAAACAAGTGTATATTTTGTTTGTTATATTTCAATTTAATTTCTTTCTTGTATTAACACATTTTGTTAAATATTTTAATAAAAGATTAACACAGAAAGGTTTTTTGTTGTTGTTGTTGTTGTTTTTTTTTAGGAAAAGTAATCTACTTTTCTGCTGATACCATCCAACTAGCAGATCTTCTCTTTTGTTAATACCTGAGATGGAGGCTATTGCTAAAAATGATCTTCCATTGTCCACGCTCCCCTCCCCCCAGTTTGATTTGTTTACCCTTACCTGGTACCAGGAGTATGCTCGGTCTGATGGGTCAATGAGAATGCTGATGATCTTGGCTTTGGGGACTAGGGAAGCAGCTCTTTTAGGAGCTTCTTCTGAGTGGAAATAATTGGCACTTTTCTCAAACAGAAAGTCAGTAGTAACATTAGATGGAATTGGGAAGAAATCCATATACCTAGAAAAGGAACATTTTTCTCAAAATAAGATCCTGTTTTACACTTATGTACTAGTGACTGAAGATAATAGAGGTGTTCCACATATCCGTTTCTTTCCTAAATAAAATTTTGCCTTTAAGGCATTTTCCTCTATAGTTAGCAAGGGAAACATCCAGAATACTAATAATGCATTTTAAAAATGTTTTTCTAAGTACATTTTGTTTGCTTAGTAGCAGAATAAAGGTAAGAGATGATAAAAATGTAGACATAGAATAATGGCAACAATAATCAATCTAACAATTTAAAATATATCTAAATGGATTAATACTGTACAGATGAAATTCTAAATATTCAAACAGGAATAAAATTTGATCAAAATAAATGATGTACTCAGTTCAAAGGTATTTTAAATGAATTAGAAAAAAAAACATTTTTTACGTTATCATAATAAAATATTTTTATCTCCACTAGTGTGTTGAGTTGATGTTACTTAAATATCTGTTGTAAATATTATTTATTTGTTTCTGTCATATAGAACCACTTACATCTATCTTTAGAGTAATTACAATGAAAGATTAAAACATATGTATATGTTTACAAATATAAAACCCAATCCAAATTTCCAAGGTTAGAATTTGTATTTTATCTTTTACAATCTATTTACCTCCAGTGTTAACAAGGGGATACCTGTAGTCTCAAGCACAGAAATGGAGGATTCTGCTTCATGTTTTGTATTAAAGGATAAAAGTTGTAAAGTATAAAAAATCAGCAGATGATCATATATATTTCAAAAGCAAAAAGGGTCATGTTTTAGAGGAAAAAGGATTCCTCAGAAACTACTTGGGTTGCATACATTTTATAATAATAGTTTCACTCTCCATCACCAACCCCTTCAATTCTTAAGCCACTGTGACTATAGACAAACAAGAAAACGTAATTCAATAATTACTGAACTGAACAGTCACTAACATACATGTAAGGACTTCTTATTATAGTGTGTTGTTTTCTTTAGAATGAGATCATGCAACTTTCATAGACTTTTCAATTGTGAGATCTCATAGTTTCACATAACAATGTTTGTGGTGATATTCCAGTTGTTGAAGCATTACCAACTACAACTGGTTCAACTCGTTATAGTTCAACCTTTTAGTGATATCTTAACACTCAGAGAAGTAAAGAAATCCTTTTATGCTTTCTGGAAAATGCATTGCTGATGATAGATCATCCTAGCCTCCTTTCAGAGAGAAAGAAATATACAAAACTTTTGGGAGAGTTGATGTGGTACATCTTCTGGTATACACTCTAGTTACAGAGAGTGCCACATTTTGGGATATTATTTAGAAGTTGATGCTGGTTGCAGGGGTGCTAAGGTTATCAAGAATGACTAGTGGTATCCTGTTTGATCCAAGCTTGCCTTAAGCTTGCTTGTTTTGAGGATGGTTCCAAATATCACAAAAAAAAAAAAAAGAGGAAATGAGCTGATTTTAGATAACTTTTAGTTTCTAACAAAGTGTCTTACCTTCACAGCAGTTTTTTTATAGCTGAAACAGTTTGGGCTTTCAAATCCTACGTAGTTCTGAATGTTGGATCTATAGTGTGTTAATTTTGCCTGGCCTTAGATGCTCACAGAAAAAATAATATATGATCACCTATATGTTCACAATTTCTACTATAGAAATGTTGAAGAAGTGCCATATAGATTTGAAAAAAAATGATCAATAAGCAAATAAATAAAATAAATCAGGTTCATATTTATAGTATAGGACCTGGATGCTCCCAAAAATGTTCACTTTTGGAAAATATACATTCAGATTATCCATTGAATTAGCAAGCACACTAGAATGTCTTAATAATTTGAGGGTTAGAAGTGAATGCCTGCTTCCCTCAGCTTTGCTACTTCTATTAAACATAATACCTCAGCATTTTTTTCTACCTGAAAAATGTATATATATTTTTCTTTTTTCAATACTCAACATTTATTTGCTATTTGTACTGACTCTGAATATTTATATTTTTATTTGATTTTACTTAAAGCCACATTATGACTATAGGGGTTCTAAATGTTAACAGGATTTTATAGCTTTCCAACCTTCCACGAATCCCCATGTAACTCAAAATAATAATACCAATGGATAAAATATTAAACTTACATGCATACATAACTCAAATATTTTTTCTGAGAAGTTCCAATTGCAAATCAACTATTTGTCAAAGATAATGTTTTCTAATTTTTATTTGCCTTACTTTGTTTGTACCCTAAGCTGCTTGTCAGTTAAAGCAACCCTAGCTTTATCCATTCTCAAAAAATGCAGATCCAAGAACCCAGATAAACTAGCTGTGCCTAAGTTAATTCTTTAAATGACCCTGGGACTCTGAGACACACAATCTTCTACACCTTTTGGAACTATGATTATAAAAAGATACCTAAGTAGTTAATGCTTCATAGAGAAGCCAGACCAGTCTGATAAATGTGAATATTTGAAGTTGTTGCATGCAAAGCTATACTTAGTGTTATATATTAAAATTTGCAATAATTATCTGTCATTTGGATTAACTGCCTTTTATAAGTATATACTTTATCAATCAAAAATGCTTGTGTTTGGGGTAATTTTAGTGAGTTATATTTAAAGTCCTTCATTGTTTTTTAATTGTCTATTTATTTAAGTCCTATCCTTATAAATGGCTTAAGAAACTTTTTGTTCATATAACAGTGTCTATACTGTACTAGCTATGATCAAGAAGGTTTTATTTGATATAATTCATGACAACAAAAAATTGATTATTCCCACAGTCAAGGAGCAGCTGAAGTAGTTGATGGTTCTCAATCCTCCCTGCTATTATTTAACACCACATAATGAACATCAAGCTCTATATAGAAAAATTGGCAGTGACATACATAACAATTTTAGCATATGTGAATTCTAGTGGGTGTTCAAATTTTACTGGATCCATTAGTTTACCTTTTCATTCAGACTACCTCAAACAACACTTGAGGTGGGTGGTACTTATAAAACTGAGATCACATAATGTGACAAAACAGATATTAACATACATGACTCTTGCTAAAATCAATGCAAAATGTGTGTTTATGCTCTAGAATTATTACAAGAATTTCACTCCTTTAAATTACTCCATCTAGCATTATACCCTAGCAGCAAAATCTCTTGATATATTTCATGATTAAAATGTTACATTGTACCATCCATTTCTACTCTATATTACAGTTTTGTATGTATCTACACTTTCACATTTTAACTATTTTCTTAAGATATCTAATTTATTTCTAATTTCAATTCAAAGGTAAAAATTTAAATTTCATAAATTTTTGATAGAGTTTTTATTGCTTTCATTACTCATGAGATATATACACATTTATATTTCTATATACTTATTATTATTGCCTAACCAAAACAAAATAAAAAAGTATATACATGAATTATAGCACCACATAATAAAAAGTGTGCAGGAGAAAAATATGAAAATGTTTTCTTAAGAGTACAAAGGAATGAAATTTCTGAGTATCATACTATTTTTTTTTCTATTTCACATTTGTGATCATCATCACAGATAATTGATGCCAATTGAAGTTACATGTGAGCCTCATGAAACAATAAGTGACTCCATAAACTGAAATGAGTGTGTTATGAATGATTTTCTGTGTTCCTTCATGTTATTTGATCAGTTTCCAAGCCACCCAGGATAACTTTTATTTATGAATACAAACATACATGTTTCTAAATATTAACACTAAGATTATACTATGCACAGTACACAAACTTTTAGATTTATACTAATAACCCATCTTACCAATCAATCCCCCTGTGGTAGTTATTTCTATTAAAGAACTGTACCTCCTCAAAGGTTTTTGGGCTGGGGGAGTTACTAAGGATGGAAGGATGCATAACCAGGAACAGAAACAAAGCAGTGGTACCTGAAAAGACAAGAGAAATTTAGAAATTAATGTAATGAAAAGAAAGTTTCTACTATTAGCATTTCAAAGTTATTAAGAAATTAAATAATGTAAGGATCCAAACAGATTCATTATAATTACTTCTTGGATTAATGTTATAGATATCTAGCATTTAAAAAGAAATATGTTCTAAAAAAAATGGAGATAAAGGGATGTGAGAAGAAGCCTCTTTCAGGGATTAAGAGAATCATCTTTTCATTTTAGTTCAATCACTGATTTGGTCTGTGGCACTGGCTTTTAGCTTCTTTTTGTTTCACTTTTCTTAAGTCCTTGTATATTTCATGTGTTTTCTCAGTGGATGAAAGACATAGTGGATCTGAAGATATTTTAATTTAATATAGTACTGTATAAATAAAATATGTTATTAGTCAATATATTACATTACCAAAATGAATAGTTTGGTTCTCCTATAAAAGTTCTTGCTAAGGTTGATGAAAGTTAATTAAACAGAATTAAATCTTTTAAGAAGTTTTCATAAACTTGAGTGTTCTTTCATATTTATAACAGTAATATAGATATTGTTTAACTTGTTAAATTTGAAAAAAATAGTATCATTTCTTATTGACATAACTTAAAATATTAACAGTTTATTGAACAGAGAATTGTCTATCCTAGGAATCCATGTAAATTTGCAACTATTGTGGAACAAGGGTGTGAATTTTTTTAAGCGAGCAATGTCATAAGCTAAAGATTACTATTTTATTTGTCTAAATTAAGAGGTAGAGCATGCAGCTTAGTCATACATCTACAAAAGAAAGGGAGGCAGGTTAGGTTCAGTTTTTCAAAGATTTAACCATGTACTTAAAACTGTGAGTGTGTTTATAAATCACAACATAAAAAAATTTCTGTACTATATATTCAGTACTCCTGGAAGAAAAATACACTACAGATTCTACTTCTCTATTCTAATGTGACTCATAGTTTATACAATCTGATGGAATAGGCTTTGTTAATTGTATTCCAAGTTGATACATAGAAATAGTAATCAGACATGATCTTGCAGTATTTCTCTTACTGGAAAAATTACTGTTCTAACTTTGCTTTGTAATACTGTCATGTTGCCATTTGCACAAAAGTTTGAAATTTCTTATATCTCTGATAAGCTTTCAGTAGTATTGTACTTAAATCTACCATATCCATCAATAGAAAAATCATTAAAATTACTATTTTTCAACTAATTGAATATTGACAGGTAAATTAATTGAAAGAAATAGTGTTTCTAGATTACATCTGAGCCAAACAATGAACGCTTTAAATATAATCACAAATAAATATAGGAAATAAAATATATATCTATGATATACAAAGTAAAAATGTTCTTCACAAGTTTCACTTAAAATAGTAATTTTCAATTTTTAGCATATATCAGATTCACTAGAGTGCTTGTTACAACACAGATAGTTGGGACTATCCCAGAATTTCTGGATTGAGCCATACTGTGGTGTGGCTCAAGAATTTGTCTAGCTGGGGTTGTGGCTCAGTGGTGGAGCATTCGCCTGGCATGTGCAGGGCCCTGGGTTCGATCCTTGGCACACATAGAAATAAATAAATACAGGTATTATGTCCAAATATAACTAAAAAAAAGTTATAGTATATATATTAAAAAAAAGAATTTGCACTTCTAACAAACTATCTGGTGATACTTCGGCTGCTGGTTTGGTGATCATCTTTGAAAATCACTGAATTAGAAGAAATGTTAAACAATACACAAAACTTATTGGGGGAAAAATTCTATAGTATTTGACATTTACAGTAAAGTATAAAGAGCATGCTATTTGGAGTCAGGTAAATCCTAGTGTCAAAACTTTTGTTTCTAGTACTTACCGGCTATGTGAACTTGAATAAAAGTTATTTAACTTTCTGAATCTCAGTTTACTGATATGTGTAGTGGAGAAGAAAATACTTGATCAAAGTCAAGTGAGATAATCTGTGAAGTATTACCTATTTAGTGCCATATCTGAATATTTGTAAAGCATTTTTAGAAATAAATTCATTGGAATGTGATTTAGAATTTAAATAAGTAAAAATTCTAAATATGTTTATATCTCAACAATATAGTTGAGATACCATTCAGAAAAAAGCATACATCCTTTTAATTAATTAATTAACTTATTTTTGTTGTTGGGGATATAACCCAGGATTTAATGCATGCTATACAAACACTCTGCCTCTAAACTATATACTCAGTCCTAAGTGTCTTTTTTATTTTCAATGAAAAGAATAAATATTTGTAAAAATAAAAAACATAAATACTATAATATGAAAATAAACATTGATTCTTTTCTGAAATATTTTGGAAAAACACTCTTTTCTGATTTTTATTTTTAAGAATTATTGCTTTTTAAAATAGAGTTTCATGACCAGCATCAATTAAACAAACAGAAAAAATAAATATAATGTAATTATTTTTCATAGTCAATAAAAGGTATAATTTTTCAGTGGTTAAAAAATAGAGACATGATTTCTGAATTCCATCTTTATCCACACATATTCTGTGGGCTGGATAAACTGTTTTGTATATACATTTTGTCAATAGTAAATCAAGTACATAATGATAGTTATATACATTTAAAAAAACCTGTGAAGCTTTAGTTTTTATTTATTTTTTGTCACTGTAAAACACTCAAAAGTATTTGAAAATCCAGATAACCAAAAATCTATACAAAATTAACCAGGAAAATACTTGTGACAAAACTGAAGTTAAAAGTAAAGTTATTTAGTGTGGTGCATGCCTGTGGTTCTAGGGGCTGAGGGAGGAAGATGCAAGTTTGAGTTTAGCCTCAGTAACTTAGCGAGACCCTCAGAAATTTAGCATGACCCTGTCTCAAAATTAAAAAGAAAATAAATAAATAAAATTTTAAAAGGAGGGGCTGGTGATGTAGCACAATTGTACTTTACAATATAGCAGTAAAGAGTCCCTGGGTTCAATCCCCAGTACCCTCCCTCCCCACCCCCCACTCCCCGCACACACAACAAAGTGTGGGAAAATAAAGCTATTTAGTTCTTATGGGATTGATCTGAGGAAATATTTTTGTCTGAGTAAAATATTCAGTTCCATAAAATGTTGATAGATATAGATAGCATGAATGAATCTTAAAAGTATCATGATAAATGAAAGAAGTTAAATACAAAAGACTATACACAGCATGGTTCCATTTATATGGAATTCTAAAAAAGGTAAAACTACAGTGATAGAAAGTAGTTGCCTTTGGCTGGGGATATGATGCAGCTTAGAGAAACTGGCTACAAAGGGATATGGAGAATTGTTTTGAACAACACTATTCTATAATTTGAATGTGGTGGTAATTATGTAACTACAGTTCACAAGATTTATCAAACTGACATCTAAAATGGTTGAATTTTAATGTAAGTAAATTATATCTCAATAATATTGGGAAAAATCAATTTCTATGAAAGGGAATCATTTTCAATATTATTTTCCAAAGACAAATGTCATATCCAAATAATAGTATATACATTTGGAAACCAAACTGAGTTTAGAATAAGAAATAATAATTCTGCCATCTAACCATAATATTAAAATACCTGTTTATCCAGCCCAGCATAAGAGGAAGCATCCCCTGCAGGGCTTCCTGAAGCAAACATGGTATGTCAAGCTTCAGAGAGTAGATGTACTTATCCTTGTATTACTGACAAGGTTATTTGATGACAGTGGGAGTTCACTGAAAAGGCTTCAGTTTCAATGTTTTCCTAGATGTCTTTTGACTTTAGATAGATAAAGACAAGTGAAATGAATAAGCACAAAGAAAAAATGTCATCAATACTGTTTTCAAATTGATATTTGCAAATGGGACTAAGAAAAAAAAATTAAAATACTTAACTCTCTGTGGACCTTGCATAGAATTCTCTTCAGCTTTTTCCTGAGTGGAATAGCAACAATGCAGTTGAAATGGCTGTTTTCCATGAAGCCAGAATCCAAGAGCCTCAAATAATTTATCACGCAGGATACATTTTAAATGTCTGGCATTTTAAAGCTTCCATTGGGCTTCATTTTAATACTGATTCTTACAAAAACAAAAAATTTATGGAAAAAAAAATTGCACACCAATTTAGGAAATGGTACAAAAGATTTCTCTTGGGTATGAATAAATACCTTTTTTAGCACAAACTTTTTTGTTTCACGTTTAGGAATTCTGCTTGTCACCTATCTTTTAAACTTTTAAAAATTTGTCATCTCTGCAAGATATTGTTTACAAATAAATTATATCATGGAGATGGCAGACTAAAGAGGAGTTTACTATAGAGTACTAGATGGGGTTGATTATAGAGTACTAGGTATTTATATGTGTTCCTGTTGACTTTTGACAGACTCCTGTCACACTTTCTAAACACATGATTAGTTTTGCTTTCCGTTAACGTTTTTCAATAAAGATCTTTGGGAAAAAATGATATGTGCCACCAAATTAACTGCTGGATATTCAAAATGTATGACATCTACTTCATCCTTTTCATTATAAAGAAACACTTTGACAAAACACTTAAGTCTATTACTGAACTAAACAAAGATCACGTAAGAAGATAACATGTTATTTATCCATCAGTTTTATAGGAAGTTTAAGAATTCACTGTCTAGTCATTTATATTTTTACACTCTTGGGTTAATCATAGCATTAAAGTTCTTACCAGTTTTCTGGGGTCCTATTACTAAGAATTTTGGTAAGCGATCACAGGTTTTTTCCTTAGACCATATGTCTCTGTGGCGTTTGTCATCACAAGGATTCTAAATTGAAGAAGAATATAGAGATGTATTTGTGTATGTTTATTGTGTATCATCATTTTCAACTTTTATCCCTAGAAGATATCACAGGAAGCAACAGGATAAACAAAGACAATTCTTTTGGTTTTTAATTTTTTTAATTGAAAGTCCTGAAATGGTATGACAGGTGTTTAGAGTGATGTCTTTTCATACTTAAGCCGAAAGTGAGGAGATATATTTCTATTTGGATATAAAATCTCATAGTATTTATAGTTTAACATTTTTCTGTTACTGGCCAGTTCTATGTTCTAATTTTTTGCATATATATATATATATATATATATATAGAGAGAGAGAGAGAGAGAGAGAGAGAAGCGCTTGCTAAGCAGTCTATACTTCCTGCCAAACTAAAAGTTGACTAATTCAATATCAATATTAAATAAATAAATGAAATTTAAGTGTCAGATTTTTATTCTAAGTAACTTTAAGCTTCCCTGCTGTGCTTCAAAGGGATTTCCCTGCTGTGCTTCAAACTGTGCTTCAAATGGATAGGGATCTAATCATTATTATAATATTTAAAGAGATATCCAACCCTTCAGATGCCTTCAAATATTGGTAATGTATATCTAAAAATGTAACTTTATAGACTATGATGTTAAAAAGTACTAAATTTTAGAAAATGGGTAAAATGAAGGTGAATTACTTTTAATATTCTGTTTTATACTTATAATAACTTAAAACCAATATCCATTGTGTAAAATATATCTAGAATATCCCTAATTTTTAACTTCAAAGTTTGTATTATGTAATATTATGTGAATTGGGAAGAATTACAGTATCCCTGAATATTTTGTCAAGACTGGGCAAACAGGACCATTTTTTAATTTATATTCAATTAATACTGTAATCTGTTTTTTAGTGAAGACTAAGGTGAGAATATTCATATTGCTGTTGGGAAAAATGTTATTTTAAACTTGTTATCTAAAGTAATGATTTTGTTTAAAAATAAGGTGTTCAATAAGCAGGAAAATTTTATGTCTTTCCAGTGGATAACATTTGATGATGTTTTTGTAGTAGTAAGATGAAAAGATACTTGTTATAACAACTAAAAAGTAATATGCAGCTATAATTCCACAACCACCAACTTTAACCTGCTAAATATAGTTATGTCTCTTCTTGGAATTATCTGTTTATCCTCGAGGAATAATTAGTTTTCAGTTCAGGGCTGAATGGATTTAATATAGAGATCAAAGTTGACCACAACTTTGTGAATATATTGAGTTTTACTTCTGAAGACTGTGTTGTTTTGTCATCAGCTCTGCACAACCTCTGGAGTCAGCAAGCATGGAACTGTTTCATTCTCCGCAACAACAGTAGATGTGTCACTTTGCTTAACTGACTCATCCTATTTTTGACTTAGTATGATCATTTATAAAGTGCGATAACAACTATACCTACCACATAGACATTTGTGTTGGTTAAATGAATTAACAGATGTGAAGAGACCAATGTGGCAAATAATAAGTATATTAAGTTATTTGCTAAGATTATTTCTTTTCACAAGTTATGTCATAGAAAATTTTGGTTCAACATGGTTCCCACAGTTCTACAACACATAACTGTGCTTTGAAATCTGGTTATCCCTAGAGCAGTTTAATGTGATTTTTTTTTTCTTAAGAAGTTCAGTGATTTATCCATGAAACATGCTACCTTCCCTGGGTCCAAAATAATCCACAAATAATATTTCTGAAAGCAACTGCTATTCTGTAGCTACAAGTATGCCTTGTGGTTCAGGAAGCAGATGTCAGAAGTGAATGCTTCTCTGAGACCCTTTAATGTGCATTAGTCATTTATAGATAGGGGGATGTGTTAAAGGCTGACTGGTTGACTATCTGCCTAGCACAAAACCTGTTTACAATCTTCTACTCTTTTAACCTACTGAAATCTGCAAATAGATATCTCACTCCTGATTGAAAACATTATATCCACTGAATTTCCCACTGAAAACACCATAATTTCTAAGGATCAATAAAACAGAATCCAGCTTAATATGGAGCAATAACAAGACTACAATTATGAAAGAAACAGTTTCTCAGGTACACTAGCATTTCCCAAATGTACTTTTTTTTTTTCAGATGCCTTCACTCTTTCAGATTTGGAATATCTCATAGAGGTATACAATATGATTGTGGGATTCATTAGTTGTACTAATAATTGAACCAATTTTACCTGCCAAAGAGGGTCTTTCTGATCAGGAAAGAGTTCAAAATACTTGTGAGCCAGTTGCACTGGTGGCAGAGTCTGAAGACGCAGGTTGGTCCAGGTCTGCATGAAGTTGGCCAGATTAACAAATGTATATAATCCCAGTCGGTCATTCCCATAGTTAGACAAATGAGTCATGAAAATACTGATCTGAAAAAGGCAAAGAACTTCAGTGTAAACATCAGTTATTTTAATACTAGAGGACAACATAATCATAGCAATATTAGTTTTTCCCCCCTAAGGAGACAGCATAAGGTTTTATAACTTTGAATTTCAGACATATTTCTAAACTTCTCTCATTATATTAATGTATACTATAGGATGTGTTACAACAAGACCTGATGGACACTTTCCCTGAAATTTTGATATATTTCATAACAAAAATAACAACAAAGCTGAGTGTAAACCAGTGGTGTCACATACCCAAGCCTTTGTAATAAAACTAATCCAGAATAAGGTATCCTAGATATCAACACCTAAGACCTTGTGATATGTAGATGATTAATCATATAGAGTGGCAGTATTTCAGAAGGTTGGGATTTTGTAATTTGGTCTATTTAATTCAGTTTATAACACTGTATTTCCAGTTTAAAGGGCATAAGTAATCAATGAATTATTATTAGCATTAACTGAACCTCCTCTGATATGCATTTCTTAGAAGCTATAATAACAAAAAGTGCCTTAGTTTTTATTTTCCATAAATAATACTCAGTGTATTATTCCCAATATAAAATGCCTTTCTAAGAAAAGTTTTTCAAGGCTGGGCATAATGTGCACACCAATAATTGCATTGGCTCGGGAGGCTGAGTTCAAAGCCAGCTTCAGCAATTTATCGAGGCTCTAAGCAACTTAGTGAGACCTTGTCTCTAAATAAAATATAAAAAGGGCTAGGATGTGGCTCAGTGGTTAGGCGGCCCTGGATTCAATTTCCGACAAACATACCAAATATATATGTTGGAGAAAAGATAGTCTTTTAACAAATGACGCTGGAAAAACTGGATATCTGTATGTAGAAAAAATGAAATTTTATCTCTATCTCTGACCCTGCACAAAAGTTAACACAAAGTGGATCAAAAACCTAGGGTTTCAGAAGCAGTGAAAATGCTACAAGAGGGCACGCCCCCACCCGGGCTGGCCTCGCCTCCTCGGCGGCGGCGGCTTCCCCGTCGTAGCTGTTCTTCCCGAGGAAAGGGAACCAGGCGCAAGCCATGGAGGGGAACCGGGATGAGGCAGAGAAATGTGTCGAGATGGCCCGGGAGGCCCTGAATGCCGGCAACCGCGAGAAGGCCCAGCGCTTCCTTCAGAAGGCCTAGAAGCTCTACCCTCTGCCCTCGGCCGGCGAGTCTCCCTATGTTGCTCAGGCTGATCTTCAACTCCTGGGCTCAAGCAGTCCTCTTGCCTCAGCCTTCCTGAGTAGCTGGAAATAGCACTATTGAAGATAATTATGAAAAATGGAAGCACTGCTGGAAATAGCCCTTATTGCCGAAAACCATCAGGTGCTGGTGATCAGAGCAAACCCAATTGCACAAAGGACAGCATATCTGGTGGTGGTGAAAGTGGAAAAGGCTATACCAAAGACCAAATAGATGGAGTTCTCAGAGATTGGAAATGCTTATGCTATTTTAAGCAATCCAGAAAAACGAAAACAGTATGATCTACGGGCAGTGAAGACCAAGCATGTAATCACCAAAACAATGGCAGATTTAATTTCCATAGAGGTTGTGAAGCTGATATAACTCCAGAAGACTTGTTTAATATATTTTTTGGTGGTGAATTTCCTTCAGGTAGTGTACATTCATTTTCAAATGGCCGAGCTGGTTATAGTCATCAACATCAGCATCAACATAGTGGACATGAAAGAGAAGAAGAGAGAGGAGACGGAGGTTTTTCTGTTTATCCAGCTGATGCCCATTATCGTATTGATCCTTGTGTCATTATTAAGCCAATTGATGGTCTCCAATCCTCCTTATTCCTTATATCCCAGACCTGGATCAGGGCAAACCATTAAAATGCAAACAGAAAATTTGGGCGTTGTTTACTATGTCAACAAGGACTTTAAAAATGAATATAAAGGAATGTTATTACAAAAAGTAGAAAAGAGTGTAGAAGAAGATTATGTGATTAATATTCGAAATAATTGCTGGAAAGAAAGACAGCAAAAAACAGATATGCAGTATGCAGCAAAAGTATACTGCGACGATCGACTCGGAAGGAAGGCAGATGCCTTGAGCATGGACAACTGTAAAGAACTGGAGCGGCTGACTAGCCTTTATAAAGGAGGATGAACTGGAATTTTTATTTATACCTTTCAGCGTGCTCTTTATCTCTTCTGTAAATTTAATTTCATCATGAGAGCTGAAGAAAAAGATTTGATATTAAAAACTGAACTGAATAGTTGGTTCCTGAAATCTTGGGCTGTTTATGACCTATTGGTTCCTTTAAATAGTAAGAACTGACAACTAAAATTAGTATTTATGTTTCTGCAATTATTTTCATTTTAAAAGCTTATATGATTCCTAACTAAATATGTCTTGAGAAAGGATTCTCATACCTGTAGCAATTCAGTTTTAGTGATTCTCTACCTTTTCCCTCATGTAAATATTTATGGAATGATCATTTTGTGTACATACAAATTATTGCCTTTTATTTAAATTCTTTTAGTGTTTAGCTCCATAAGACACTTCCTTTAAGTTGGTGGAATAAATGTTATATGACACAACTTTTCCCTGTCAGGTGTTGAGTATGTGGAGTTTAAACAATGAAACTTTTTCAGAAAGAAAGAAAACAAAAACTATTTAACTTTATGTAAAATCTTATATAGCATTATCAGCTTAGAGGGAACTGATATTTTTAATATTGCCATTATATTCCAAAATATGTATTGAGATAAATGAACTGGTATAATGTATCAGTTTGCTATTTAGTTTTCTGAATTGCTAATCCATGCATAGAAATGAAATGCTATGCTGATAGATTTTAAAGAAAATATGAGGAAATGGCTATAAATATTAAATTAAAAGGGTCTTCAACAGTAAATTGCAGTTATGCCATTTGCAAGTCCAGTAATTAAAAGGCCCCAGCTGTTCGTTTATGTGTCTTTGAAGGCTGCTAAAATTTATGGAGAGAACTCACCTAATTTTCCCCCTTTGGAAACTTAAGTTTCTTAGTAATCATTTAAAAATGCAGGATCCAAAAGTCAATGAATTCTACAAATAAGTAGTAAGAAAAATTACTACCAAATTATAGCCTTGTGCCTTTTAACCCTATTGCCAACTCTGAAACATGTAAGTAGATCACAATTCACTTATTTGATCAGAGCATGATCTTTATGGCCACATGCAACAGTGGGCAGAAATACAGTAGCAGGTAGAATAGTGATTTATAGCAAATCATCCTTAAGAAATTCTGAGCTAAAATCTACTCTAACCATTGAGTAATTAATTATGTAGGAATAAGCTCCTTGTAATTAAATCCATAATACAAGTTAGAGAAAAAACAGCTGGAAATTGAAGTTTTGGGTGCCTATATATTGAAAATGAAACTATTTTGATTTCTAGTCTTCTATGTTTAACAGGTATAATATTTTGATGCTTTTTCGTACTCAGTTAAGGGAACATGAACAGTTTTGGGTAGTTTTTTTTGTGAGTGAGAGAATACTAGAATGAGTGGCTTTGTTCTTTTATTTAAGGATTTCTTTCTTCTGGGTATGTTTGATTTATGACGTTTGTTAAATAAAACCACTAAAATGATATTCTCTTAAAAATGTTCTTGTTTCCCCTTTTCCAGGTGAATCAGTAGATAATGCCTAATTAAATCAGTACATTAAACTAAACATGCTGTCCTAGGAAACCTGGACAACTTACCCAACTTGCTTAAAAGATGTGACCTTTAAAAAAAAAAAAAAAAAAGTGCTTTAAAAATATATATATAATTTTAAGTATTTTTTGAGCATGTAGAATGAGTAAAGAAAAAAATTCATCCTAAGTACCTTTGAAAGCTCATATGTATCAGAAATTTATAAAAATTTTAATGAAAAAAATTTCACCTTTATTTTTCCAGTGTTAATGTAAAATTTACACTGTTGTAATTGATACTTCTTATTGACTTGCTAAGAGCCAAGTATATGATGCATGGCATTTTTGGTCGAAAGGTGACGCCAGCTAGCCATTGAGATGATATGATTATGTTAAGATTTGCATTCATATGGATATTGGACTCCTGCTGTTCACCTAGGCCGGCTATGGGACTCCTGGAGAGTTCCCATTGGTTGGGGAAGTACAGTACGAGGGAGTTCCGGGGGAGGAGCTCTCTCGGAGGTCCGAGAGGAGGCCGCGTGTGTGGAAAAAATCTTCCCGGGCGGTACCGGACATTGGCGGCAGTTTCAAAAAATAAACTTTGTTCCTGCTTGAGTGGCTCGTGATTTTGTGCCCAGCCAAACTGCGGCAACTGGTGGCCCGCACGGGGAACGCCTGAAGTTTGGAGGTGAGTAAAATTGCTCGCCCCTGAGGGAAGGCAACAAAATGGGTGACCATTTCAAAAAACAATGTGTTCTCGTTTTGATTTATCTTGTTTTTGTTTCAAGCTGCCTATCCCTAGAATTTTCTCAGGCAAACTGGGAAAATTGGTTGGCTCAAGGTTTGAAGTTGTTCGGCCCTGAGAAAGAGAAAATTGATACAACTATTCTTTGTTCGGTTTTTGTTTCATTCTGTTTCGGTTTTGTTTTATGCTATCTTATTGGGTTGCGTTACCTTTATAGTAGATTAGAAACTAGTAAAAAACAAACCGAAAGACTGTTAAGTAAATTGTTAGAGGTCCAGACTATGGTAGAAAACATGTTAGGTCAAGCGAAAGAGAAGGTCTCTCAAGCTAGTCAGACAGAGGAAGATTTGAAGAAAGAAAGCTTAGAGGAAAAACAACCATCAGGCGGGGAATTACAACAGGAGGCTGCTACTAACCCCGTTCTATCACCAGAGGGCGTAATTTAACCAACAGCTCCATCTACAGCTGAGCGGCCCTCAACTCCCGTAGTTGATGGACGGAATCCTGAGGCAGGACCCCAAAGATTAGCATGCCCTGTACTTGAGCAGGCAGGAGGGCAACGAATTCACCGTGCTTTAGATTTCAAAACAGTGAAGCAATTAAAGGAGGCT